AGGTTTCTCGAATATCTTGGCTATAATTCCTGTTGGTTGAGCTAATATCACAGTTTTTTTCCACAATACCTTATGTTGTGTTTTATGTACATGTTCTGCTATGGCTGAATTTTGATTTTTTTTTTATTTCTTACGTATCCTTTATACTCTATTAAACAATATTTTAAAATTACGTTTAGTCTGTTTAATATAAATATTTCCACATTCACATTTAATTTTATAGATTCCTGTTTTTCCATTAACTGTATGCTATCTTTGGTATTACCTAAATTTCGCTTTATCTTATTAATCGGTTTAAATATAGGATAAAATATTTGTTGTTTTCTAAACACTTTAAATAAATTATTAGTTAACCCTGGAATATATGACAAAATTAAAGCTTCCTTTTTATTTATTTTTCATAACTAGGTTTTAAAGTAATACTTTGATCAGTCAGTACCACATTAGTGAATTTGTTGACAGCTCTATCTATAATATTCGGGTTAAATTCTCTTTCAACTGTTACAAATTTCATTAACAATAACTCATTTTTAAGTCTTCTTGTTTAGTACATATCTTTAAAATTGTCTTGCAACTCATTTCTGAAGATCACGTTGCAACGTCGAAACATACAGAGTCAACATTTTAGTGGTCGTATATTGATCTTAATTAAAATGTTTTTAATTGTGTACCTATTGTAACGTTGTGTGTTATTTATTATTTTAACATTATACACAAGTGCCAAGAAATAATACTCATAAATCAATAGTTTTACTTTGATATTAGAAAGTAATTTCCAGATTATCTTGACATTTCTCTTTGACATTCGAAGTTGATAATATGAAAAAAGACGCAAACATTTCTAGGGTCAGTTGCTTCAAACAAATGACTTCTGTTAAGATCAATCAGTGTTAAAAAAAAAGGTTCAAATTTATGAAGACACTCTAGTTTGAAAAGTAAATATACTTTGACTTTTGAAAGAAGTAAAATGAATATTAACTATTCTGATTTCTGTGTTTTTTTCTTTGAACTATGAAAAAGTCACGTAAACAGGAAGATAGAAGAGATACTCATTACACAATAAAAGACTGAAAACTGGAAAGTAACAACTATAGTAACGATCAGAACTAAAAAGATATTTGCCACACCTATGGGGGGGTGGAGATGCGACTTTCACTGTAGAAAACTTTCAATATGCTAATAATCCTAAAGTTGAGCATAGATTTACAGTGAACTAGTTCGGCCAGGGTTTCATCACAGTCCTGCCACGCCCACTTTAGTTGGTTTTATAAAATACCAAGTTTGGTAAGACTCCTGCCACACCCACTTTAATATATTTTTTATTTTTATAAAAGACCAAGTTTGGTAAAGCTCCTGCCCCGCCCACTTTAGTAGGTTTTATAAAATTCCAAGTTTGATACTAGTTATGCCACGCCCACTTTAGACATCAGTAGTTTTTATAAGAAAAACGACTTGGGAAGAGTCCTTCCATGGAAATTTTAGTCTTATTTGGTTTAATAAAAGACCGAGTTTGGTAACAGTTCTTCAATACCCATTTTAGTCTTTAGTTGGTTTTATAAAAGACCGAGTTTGGTAACAGTTCTTCAATACCCATTTTAGTCTTTAGTTGGTTTTATAAAAGACCGAGTTTGGTAACAGTTCTTCAATACCCATTTTAGTCTTTAGTTGGTTTTATAAAAGACCGAGTTTGGTAACAGTTCTTCAATACACATTTTAGTCTTTAGTTGGTTTTATAAAAGACCGAGTTTGGTAACAGTTCTTCAATACCCATTTTAGTCTTTAGATGGTTTAATAAAAGACCGAGTTTGGTAACAGTTCTTCAATACACATTTTAGTCTTTAGTTGGTTTAATAAAAGACCGAGTTTGGTAACAGTTCTTCAATACCCATTTTAGTCTTTAGTTGGTTTATAAAAGACCGAGTTTAGATAAGAGTCCTGCCACGCCCACTTTAGT